ATTTTCTAATATACCCAAGAAAGAGATTGCCATTTATACTGTTTTTTGGATAGGGACAGGGAAATTTCAGTGGCTTGAAAAACAAAGCTTATAGTGTTGTAACTTCCTTTTTTTGGCATTATTAAAATAAAATTAAAAAAGGGGGGGTGTTTCTTGTTTGTTTTGGGGTTTTGTTGAGTGTGACGTGGAGTTTCTGGAATAATGTGTAGAGACTTGTCAATCAAAATCCCCTCTCTAAATATTAGTGATGACTGGCAAAGCTTTATTCGCTATTTCAATGGATACATAGAAATGTTACTCTCAAAAGCATCTATTGTAAATGACTAGGAAAAGTCTTTACGAATCTCTGGAAAATTAAAAGTCACACATAATACTCCCACTGTAAACCAATTATTTTAAATTATTTTAGAAAAATGAAAAAGTTCTTCTTTCTAAAAACCTAATTTAACCAATGAATTTCCTGTAATATGTCTTTTAATGGATTTATTATTAACAACCATGAAAACAATATAACAAAACTGTATGATATGAGCATGCAGAATAATCATAGACTCATAGAATAGTTAGGGTTGGAAAGGACCTTGAGATCATCTAGTTCCAGCCCCCCTGCCATGGGCATAATGACCCATTCAGAGGCCAAACTTTTGCCTGTATTTAGTCAAGAATGTTAAAAAATCTGAACGTGCTGGAAAGGAGAGCTGAGAGGTGAATTAAGTAGAAGGAAAAGGAAGAAAAGAAGATTATGCAGAGATTTTCATTAGTAATGGATCTATTGCAGTGTTTCAATTAAAATATAAAAAAAGGATCTCTAAAGATACTAGAAATGGTGCAGCACTGGAAGTTCAATTTCTGAGTTGAAAGATTCCAGAAATCATTTGGGGGTGATAAGTTTATGTTATTCCAGATATGGAATCATTTTCTGTCGCTAATGAGATGAGGCTACTCACAGTCCAGCCTTAGAAACAGAGTATGGTCCCCTGCAAGCTTGTACATCGTAGTGAAAATCATTCTTGTACAATATTGCAAGGGACAGCTGAATCAGTCATCACCAGACCATAAGTATGCAGAGTTACTGCCATCACTTACAGATACACAGCTGCACAGGTAGTGGGATTTTGTGAAACAAAGAGGAAGGGTGTTCTTTAAAGAGGTTCTGCTATGCCATGGACTCAGCAGGTAATTTCAATAGAATCCTTCTCAGGTTTATACTGAACAAATTTTGTCATTCTAATTGATACTTTAATAAAAGGTAACCTAAATATAGCATGTATATAATACTATATTTCTGAATTACTCAAGAAAAAAAACAATGGCATTGCCCTTAATGCAAAATTTTTAAATCATATTCATTGAGCAGTGAGTGCTTATTCAAGATTGCTGTTAAACTGATTAAATCATAGAATCATAGAATAGTTAGGGTTGGAAAGAACCTTAAGATCACCTAGTTCCAACCCGCTGCCCATGGGCAGGGAGGCCTTACACTAAAAAATGTCACCCCAGGCTCTGTTCAGCCTGGCCTTGAACAGTGCCAGGGATGGAGCATTCACAGATTCCCTGAGCAGCCCATTCCAGTGCCTCATCACCCTAACAGTTAAGAACTTCTTCCTTATATACAATCTAAACTTCCCCTGTTTAAGTTTTAACCCATTACCCCTTGTCCTAGCACTAGTCGCTGGTGAAGAGTCCCTCTTCAGCATCCTTGTAAGCCCCCTTCAGATACTGGAGGGCTGCTATGAGGTCTCCACGCAGCCTTCTCTGCTGCAGGCTGAACAGCCCCAACTTCCTCAGCCTGTCTTCGTACAGGAGGTGCTCCAGTCCCCTCATCATCCTCGTGGCCCTTCTCTGGACTTGTTCCAATAGTTCCATGTCCTTTTTATGTTGAGGACACCAGAACTGCACACAATACTCCAGGTGAGGTCTCACGAGAGCAGAGTAGAGGGGCAGGATCACCTCCTTGAACCTGCTGGTCACCCTCCTTTTGATGCAACCCAGGATGCAGTTGGCTTTCTGGGCTGTGAGTGCACACTGCTGACTCACGTTCATTTTCTCATCAACCAACACCCCCAAGTCCTTCTCCGCAGGGCTGCTCTGAATCTCTTCTCTAAATGATCACTTAAATCTCACAGGAAATACTAAATATTATGGAGACAACACTTTGAGTGGTTCTTATTCTCTGTTACTAAAGGCCTGATGTGGCTTTCTTTCACAGTGACTACCCCAATTATCTGAGGACTTCAGAATTTTTTCAGAAGTTTTGATTACAGCCAATGGCATCCTAAAGTAGGCCAGGGATAAAAGATATCTCACAGTTCGTGAATAATTGAGTAAGCTTCTGTATAACAATGAAGTGCCTTATGAAACACAAATGTTTGTTTGCTGTGTGCTCACATCTGCACCTATTTATCTATATTTATAGGTAAATTCATATGCTAATGCTTTTTCAAACACTGAGATACAAACTGTCTGTTGGTGTAATAAGGGAAAATGCTGCTGAAATGAAGTGGAACTGTATACGTTTATTCCAGCTTTTAAAGTGTGTTTAAAAAAAGCAAAATTCAAATGCAAGGGTGTACCTTTGTGTATGTACACACTACATCAGGAATCCTCTTCAATCCATTCCATTCTTCAGATCTCTCTTCTCCCTAAAGGTCTGGAAAAAAAAAGTGTCATTAAATTGAAGGAGTAACAGTCTAAAGGTAAAACTTAACGGTTCTTCTTGCTATTCAGGGTTCTCCTTGAAAAGGTAGGCCTCTTCATTCCCACAGTCTATGCGCTGAAGCCTTTGAATTCATACCAGTGCTGAAATCCGGGAAAAGGCCTAACAAAGGTGATCCTTAAAGATCAGTAGCACATTGCCCACTAGTAAAAGGGTCAAGGCCTCCCTCTTGAATTTTGTTACTTCAGCTGCAAAGCTTCAAACTTGCTTCCACGCTGTCCTAGATTGATATCCAGTAGAAAAAGGCTGAAGTTGGCATTCAGGAAACCCTGCTTATTTGTCACTGAAGGGATTGCTTTGGTGTATGCATTAGGTGACCTTTTACTCTTCAAAAAGCTTCTTGGTCAACTAAGACAAAACTTCTGTAACCTGATAACCAGTTGTCAAAAATTCAGGTCACCTGTAAAATGTGGATTCTGTGACTCCTGAAACTCACTCCTGAAACCCTCCACTGATGATGGAGCCTGTAGCTTGATGTGGTTTTTCTAAAGGGAAGTCTTTGAGGACTATTAAGGGAGGATAATGAAAATAAGGAAATCAGTCAAAGATTTGAGATTAAAACAATGGGTTTACCCTTATGAAAATATTTCTTAGGAAAAGACTTTCCACAGAGGAAGAGAGATGAACTGAAAATAGAGATGGATTAAAAAAAAAACAAACAAAAGCCAAAACAACCCAGATCCCAGAAGAGCCATGAGTACCATTAAAAGTGATACTTTTATTAAATGAATAAATATGTCCCATTTGAACATTTGGGGCTATTGCTTTTAGTAAGGTCAAAGTAATGTGGATATCCTCTACCTATGGGTAAAGCTTTTCACACCATAATGTTATGAAGCGTTAATATGGGTTAATCAGAAGATAACTGTGGGAGCAGTGCTGTTGCTTTGATAAAGTAAGTTGCAACACTGCCACGATGTTGTTTAAAGAAAGTACTATCTAATAGAGATGGTTTATGATGTCCCACAGTGTAATGTCTTTTTTTTTTTTTCCCCAAAAAATATGATATTGTCTTTGCTCTCCCCCAGGTCAGATGAAGTAATTTCTGAGATAGGAAGTATAGTTGTACAGTTGCCACTTTGCAACCTTAGTAGAAAAAGACTAAAACTTGAATGCTTTCTAAGAAGTATACTTGCAGGGACTTTCATTAAATGCTATCTTTTCTTCCAAAAGTCTTCATAATTAAACATATTGATACTGTAGTTCAATGGTAGGTTTTTTAAAAGAAAACACTTACTTTGCGTGGTAACACTCACTTGAGATAATGGCAACAGAGTAGTAGTCAGCATTATTCTATCAGAATGTAGTTACTTAAGCTTATTTTTTATAATGACAATATATGTGTCCTTGAAATAACTACATAAAAATCCATATGCTATTGTTTATAAACTGTGCAAGTACTGAAAAGGAGAATGAAGGAAACTGTTTTCATAGATTATAAAACTAGGTTAATATCCTATCCATTACTTGCATAATGTAGTCCAGAGGATTATCCTTAATCAGCTTCCCTTTAAACTGCGAGTGTAATCTTATTTGATAATTCAGTCCTGATTTATAACTTCTTGTTATGGCAATACTATCAGAATGCTTAAAGTACCCTTGTTGCTGAAAAGTACATTTTAAACAAAATCTAGTGTGTTTCTCTTAAAAATGAGAGGATAATATTGTTTTGGTTTGTGCTTTCTGAAGGATTTTATTTTTCAAAACTTGCTAAAGTTAATAATCTTTGTAGTTTTTCCTTAGAAAGTTTATCATTTAATGAAGTGAGAGAACTAGATAATGTAGTCCAGTATTGGTCACATTGGTGTTTATTTCAGCCTTGTATTTTCTTTTCTGTGCATACAAGTTTATACTGACTGCCTGCTGATTACTGTATTCTGTTAAAAGCAAAGTATCCCAGTGGTATGAATACTCTCACGAAAATAGATTATAAACACGAAAGCTAGAAATGCGTGGAAGGATTTCTGAAATTTCTCTAATGCAGCCTTATAATTCTTTATGTATCCAAAGTTCATAGAATTACTTGAGTTCAGGGATTATTAAATTTGGCATGCATGAAAGAAAGCAAAGGAAGAAAGTCTACAAAGGACTGACAATATGTATAAATTGATGAATTTTGATTACTTGTGTAGAAATAACTGATGTTCTCAAAGTTTTAAAGACTTCTAAAATAAAATACAGTAATTTTAAAATTTCTTTCCAAGTCAACTATGTAACTAAATGCATGTGGGTTGCTGTCCACCTTTAAAGAAACGCTAATATAATCCACTGATTTCATTTGCAGATTTTCAGGCGTTGTTGGTTGGTTTTCAAGAAGGCTTCCAGTAAAGGACCTAGGAGACTAGAAAAATTTCCAGATGAGAAAGCAGCATATTTCAGGAACTTCCACAAAGTAAGTCATGCCTTTCTCATGAACTGAATTATCGCCTCTTTATCGCTGTTCCTGGGAAGAGCGTGATCTTGATATGGCTAGTTTGCAAAGAATATAGTAAGGATCAGGTTGAAAAAAAAATTGTGGCACTAAAGGCACACTTAAACGTCTGTAAATCTCAGTGATACAAGTGAGATATCATGCTGTTTTTTTCCAGATGAGCGCAAACCTCCCAAAGTGTGTGAAGTTTTCTTTAAATATTAGTATTTTGGAAATGTGAAAAAATAGCTGCTTTAATCAAATGTTTAACTATTAGTTATTACCTGAAAATGCCAAATGCCTCTGTAATGGCAACACTGGTTGAATGAGTAACATTTTTCCCAGAACTCTTGAAGATTTTCAAGCTCTGTTAACAGCAAGGATTTTTAAGGCTAAAAAATCAGGATTCTGAATGAGATTCTCCCTGCTTTCTCTCTCACTGTCACTTATGTGATGTAAAATAAGATACTTGAGCACAGGTTTTTCTTTCTGTCTTATAAGTAACTGTTATCAGCTCCCCAAGTCAGTCAGTAGATTGCAAATTAGCTAATCTTAAAATAGGGCAGGGCTCTGTGCTTGTATTATTGTCTTCTATCCAGTCACCTTTAGCTTTATGTCTTACCAGCATTAGATGTGACATTAAAACTGGCAAGTCTAAATACAAAGTTGACTTAACCAAGGTCATACTCCAAGCACTGGAAGAGGGTGGATGTAAGTCTAGATCTCTTGAAGGCAGGTCTAATGCTTTTTTGTAAAAAAACTACAAAGGAGCCTTTAAGTTCTAGTAGCCTCTTTATATATTTAAATGAAAAATGGGTATATAATAATGAGCATGCAATTATCCTGTGAATGTTTTCTAAGAAAAACAACCTAACCAAAGCTCATCTCCCCCTCCACCTGGTTGGCTAGCCGCGGCCAATGGGCATCTTCTGTTGCAGTCAATAAAAGACAAAGAGACAAAGGCATACACCTGCCAAAGACCCCAGAGTTTAAAGGAAGAGTGCAAGAAAGAGAGTAGAAATTAGCACATTTGCATTGGAGTTTACTGAAGAGGAAACTTGCGTGCTCTGGTGTAGGTATGCATGGGAGGATTCTGCGGAGATTTCTCTGTATCATAAACTTGATCATAGATACTTTAACCCCAGCCACACAGAATGATCACTTGCAAAGTATGGAGAACATATTCACTCAAGAGCCTAAAGGGAATTTAGAGGATTACATATCTGAATTAATAACAGTAGTCTGTAAACTCCAAAATCAGAACCAGCAGAAGTGAATTCTTCCATTACTTGTAAAATCTCCGGTCCTATTAATGCATGCTTCTCTTTCACTAATAAGGTAAATAACCTTCACACAATGTGAAAGTGGTGTGAGTTAGGTCTGTCCCTGACAAGATACAGCTGTCCTGGAGCAAGAGCAGCTTGAATTTGTCAATGCTGGTGTTCTTACCCTTCAAATAAATAAATAGGTGGTCTGGCATTAAGTTCAAAACTTACTGATTTAATCCCCCCAGTATGAAAGATTGTTACTTCAAGATTATGTCAACAACAGCTATTTCTAAGGTTTTGAATTTCAAGTTAGCAAGATCAAAGTAGGATCAGATTTTTAGATTTTAGATTTTTTTGTTGGGTTTTGTTTGGGTTTTTCCGCTGTTACTATGTTCGATTCTGATGTGCTTTATATAAACCTGCAAAAGCAAAATAAAATAAATTGCACAACGTTTTAGCAATAACTTCTGATAGCCAAAAATATCTATGGAGCAGATGGTCTGAAGCACATGTTATATAATATGTATCCACAAAAATAAATAATAATCAAGAAAGAGATTAGCAGTAGCCTACTAGCTGTGATCTGCTAAATCAAATTTGTGGCCAGGCCCACACAAGGGGAACCGCATTACATTTTTTCTTTCACTGCTTGATTGTCCTGGAGAAACTTGTGGAATGCTAAATACTGGTTTCAGAAAATGGTGATTTATGTATTTCAGTCCCAGTGATTTATGACAAGTTCTTATACCAGCTGCAGCAGTTTCTTGACCGGATCTCAGCAATAAGGTCTCCTGTGCACATGCACACAGAAGCATGCACCAAGAGTTTCTGTGGTGCATTAGCAGTCCTGTTGTGTAAGAGATGGGAGGGGACAGGTTCTTCTTGTGTTTAAAAACTCAGTATGCAGGAACAAGATTCTTCTACAGCACAGTTGCTAGTCTGTAATTGAAATGGCCTTAAACCATGAGGTGGTTATTAACTTAAAAAAATTTCAAGGTAAGTGAATTCCTGATAACATTGAGATACACCAAATTTCACCACAGTCATCTGTGTGATAGCCCATGCTATTCTTAAATGTAATTACAAGTCTATAATAAAAACCAAATATATTTACATATGGTAGCATTATCATAATCCTTATAAGAACTGATTGTTTCAGTTTCCCCAGTTACTTTTGGGTTGGTTGGTTACTTTTTCAGGGTTCTCTGGCCACCACCAGGTTGCCTAAATAAAGATTCTTATTGCTTAAGAAATGTGAACTAGCCTACTGTTTATTCTAGTTTAGTCCAAGACTCTTGCTTTGTTGTGGAGCATTTCAGCCTCTTACGTTGCTCCTGGTCACTACAAATACGAAGTTATGCAAGTATCCTTATGGACCTCTAATCTAAAATGCTACTGCTATTATTCATGATTGTTGTATTGCTTCTCAGATGCAAAGACATTCTCAAAAGGAAGTTGGATAAACATCTATGATTATTAGGCTTGAGTTCTTGTGCTTTTGTGGTAAGATATAACACTTGATTTGCATCCAAATTTGAATATTATTTGAATTCCCCTTCCTCACTTCCTCATTTGTTTTGTATAACATTTATGCTTTCTGGTTTTCAAATCTGTCTGGTTTTGCTGTGTTGACCATTCTGCTTGAACTGTTAGTTGATCTAAATTTCCTCATGAAGTCTTTATTTTCTCATCTGATTAAACTCACTCAAAAATTCATATTAGACAAAAGCTAAATATGAATACCTTGTGAAGATCTGGTCGCATTCACCAATACCAGGTTTTTTACTCTGAGAACAATTCCAGATTTAGACTATTTTGTACTTTTCCTCTTCTTCACTTATCCCTGTTCTTTAAAAGTTTTATTGCCTAGAACTCTTTCCAAAAAGTTTCAGAATAGTGATGCCAATGTAGTAATTTCTTAGGAGTCCAGTGAATGTGTGTAGGCATGTGTTCCTGTTAGTTTTGAATAATATTATGCCAATTTTTACCTGCAAAGAATCGAGAAGTTAACAATCATTTTTCTTAGCTCTTTGAAAGAGGTGTACCTTGTCTGGTTTTCACACCCTTATTTTGCTGAGCCTTCCAAAGCATAGATAACTAAATTTTCCTGAAACTATATCCCCCTTTTTTCCCCATTTTGTAATGTAATTCCCTTCAAATATTTGTTTACAGCACTTTTGTGTAATATCTTGTCGTCTAGAAAAATCATCTGATTGGTATGGGAAGGCTAAAAAGTGCATTGCTTTCATGGGCAGCTATTTCTCGGCTGATGAGATTAAAATGAACTCTATTTAAATGAATAACTGTTAGTAAAACTACTCAGTACTGCACACCAAACAGTAAGGTTTGCAGTAATTATCAGATCCCTCTTAAAATATAAAAGTATTTGAACAATGTAATCATTCAAAGCAAGCGTTCTATGGACCAAAAGCAAACTGCAGGAATAATTGAGGCTCTGCTGGTAATAAAACTGTTAATAGAGTCTGAACACATCAAAGGGCAGCATGCAAACTAATAAAACAAAATGTCTTTCAACAGAGATTGTATTAAGGCAATAACATCTTCTTTCCTTAACAGTGTAGTGAAGAAATCTACAAGTTCAGCATGCTGATAGAACTTTGAGTTCCCACAAGCTCAAACCTAAAATGCTTAAATGACACTATGAGTCTCTTCCTGTGTAGGACTCTACTAATCTTTCAAAACCTTCAAGACGCTTCTAATATTAATTAGAAGTGTCAGTTCACAGGGTATATAAAGAATTTATGTCAATAGGTGTCCTTGAATTCCTCATCAGTGCCATCAGTGGCTGAATCTAAGTATCAAGGGAATAAACAGTGGGAGAAGTAAAGATCATCTCTAAGTCTCTACTGGTAGCACAATGCAACTCTAAGACATGTTAGTGCTTCTTATATGAAGATCTGTGTACCTTTATTGAGGTAAATTTGTAGTAGTTCTTGAGTGTGTGCATAGTTTTGCAGCAAAAGTGACACTACTCTTCAAAATCATCTGTTTAAATAGGAGCCTCTATTCCCATTATGTGAAGTGTTAAAACAAGGAGGTAGATAGAACATGTTACTTTAAAAAAAATATTTGGACAGTGAAGGGTTGTTTAAAAAATTTAGCGGGGGGGGGGGGGAATAAAAATTATGATCTAAAACTCAAACTGAGTCTGGGGACTCAGTGGCTAGAGGGCAGCTCTGCTGAAAAAGCCTCGAGAATCCCACTGGGCAGTGATCTGAGCCTGTGCCTTGGCAGCAATGAAGGCTTGCCTCAACAGGAGTATGGGCAGCATACTCTCCAGTGAGTGCATTTTAAGCCATACCTGGAATATCATGTCCAGTTCTGGTCCCCTAGCTGCTCTATTCAGGATAGCCATAAAAAAAAAAATGGAGATGGTCCAGCAGAGGGCAAGTGAGGAAACTGGAGGTTGTAGAAGCTGACATGAGGAAAGGCTGAAGGATCTGGGTTTGCACTAGTGAAGAGAGAAGGCCTGTGGGTATCTATTTACAGCTTTCTAGTTTTGATGACGGTGGCTGAAGTGAGAAATGGATATGCTCTCTTCTAAAGGGTGCTCAGGGGAAGGACAAGAGGCAATGGGCAGAAGTTACTTCAAAAGAAATTAGCTGGATATAAGAAAGAAAACAAAAAAAGCACAATGGAAAGAACTAAACATCAGAGCAGGCTGACCAGAGATGTCAGTATTTCCTAGCTTGA